CAAGTGAGGTCTCACCAGTGTTCCGTACAATGGCATGAACACTTCCCTCTTTCTACTGCTAATACCTCTCCCTATACAACCAAGCATTCTGCTAGCATTTCCTGCTGCTCTATTACATTGTCTGCCTACCTTTAAGTCATCAGAAATAATCACCCCTAAATCCCTTTCCTCAGATGTTGAGGTTAGGACTCCATCAAATATTCTGTACTCTGCCCTTGGGTTTTTACGTCCAAGATGCATTATCTTGCACTTATCCACATTGAATGTCAGTTGCCACAACTCTGACCATTTTTCTATTTTACCAAAATTATTTGCCATTTGGCTTATCCGTCCTGGAACATCAACCATGTTACATATCTTTGTATCATCAGCAAAAAGACATACCTTACCATCAAGACCTTCTGCAATATCACTAATAAAAATATTAAAGAGAATGGGTCCAAGTACAGATCCCTGAGGTACCCCACTGGTGACAAGCCCAAGCTTCGAATATAGTTCATTGACTACAGCACTCTGTTGCCTGTCACTCAGCCACTGCCTTACCCATTCAACAATATTGGAATCCAAACTTAAAGATTGCAATTTATTGATAAGCCTTCTATGTGCAACAGTGTCAAAAGCCTTACTGAAATCTAGGTAAGTAATGTCTACTGCACCACCCTGATCTATTATTTTACTTACCCAGTCAAAAAAATCAATAAGATTAGTTTGGCATGATCTCCCTGAAGTAAACCCATGTTGTCTCTGATCTTGAAATCTATGTGTACATGGTTTCCAGTACTTTCCCAACTACTGAAGTAAGGCTTACGGGCCTATAGTTGCCCGACTCCTCCCTACTACCTTTCTTGTGAATAGGCACAACATTCGCTAACTTCCAATCTTCTGGGACTACTCCTGTTAACAATGATTGGTGAAATAAATCTGTTAATGGTTTTCCTAGGACACCACTAAGCTCTTTTAATAACTTTGGGTGTATTCCATCTGGTCCCATTGACTTATTTGTCTTTACTTTTGACAGTTGAAATAGAACCTCTTCCTCTGTAAACTCACATGTAATAAATGACTCATTTGTCCTTTTTCCTAACTGAGGTCCCTTTCCTTCATTTTCATCTGTAAATACTGAACAAAAATATTAATTGAGGTAGTCAGCTAGACTTTTATCCTCTTCTACATACCTTCCTTCTTTTGTTTTGCGGTGAGTACAAAGCATAGTCATACACCACAACCGCGTACATTTATATTTAAACATAGATAGGTTAAACAGTGGCATGGAAAATGTGCACATTTTTTGTTTTAAAAACATAATAAGGTAAGCAGAGATGTCTAAACGATAACAATCTGTTTGAGAACGACCATGTTTGCAGCATCTTGACAGTATTGGCACTCAGAGTTGAACATAAGAAATAATATTGTGACATGGCGTAAGCATTTGTACCATTCTGCGGTTCTGTGTCATGAAGACTAATGTGTTTGGTAGCAACTGGTTAATCCTTAGTTTACCTTAAGGTTTCAAAATGCTGTCTAGTGTTCATAGTATAAGCTAGCATGCAACTGAAATATCTCTAACATAGCAATTTAAGTAAGCTGAGAATTCACATGATAAGCACCTCAGGCATTGGATGTGAACAGATCATATTGTAAGACTCTAGCCTTTCTAACCTTCTGTGACAGTCAGAAGGAGTGTTTGCTAGGTAAGTGGGTCTGGTTTATGCGATATGCATGCCTTTTTGCAGTAAAAGGAAACCCGAGGGCGCAAACCAAAAACAATATAAGTAAAATATAAATGAAAAGAAAGTTCGGAGGTATTAACCACTAGTTGTGCGGTCGGACTGTGCTGTGTATCATTACTGAGTGGTGCAAGTCCCCGTGACAGTTCACAGCAGTCAGCCTATGCCCACTCTGGAGGTCTGGGGTATCAGCCTGAGTTGTAGGTGCAGCGTCTGCGGAGTGCTGTTGTGCAGTGGGTCAGCTCGTGGGCGGTGTAGTGCCACTTCCATTCCTCTGCAGGAGGTTTGAGGCAGGTATCCTTGGATTTTCCTGCAGGACCATAGCCAGGGCCGGACTGGCCCACCGAGATACCGGGAAATTTCCCGGTGGGCCGTCGGCACCTGGGGCCGGGCAGCCAGCTGGCTCACCTGCGGCCGCAGAGGGAGCTCCTTTGGCGGCCGCAGGGGGAGCTGGCTGTTCTGTCTCTGCTCCCCCTCCCCAGCGCACTGCTTAATGAGACCGGGGCCGGAATATGACATCATACTCTGGCCTCGGTCTCATTAAGCAGTGCGCTGGGGAGGGGGAGCAGAGACAGAACAGCCAGCTCCCCCTGCGGCCGCAAGAACAGCCAGCAAACCCTGCGGCCGCCAAAGGAGCTCCCTCTGCGGTCGCCAGAAGAGCTCTCCACAGGTAGAAATTGTGTATGTGTGTGTGTGTCTGTGTCATTTGTGTGTGTGTGTGTGTCTGTCGGTCATGGTGTGTGTGTGTGTCTGTCTGTGTCATGGTGTGTGTGTGTGTCTGTCTGTGTCATGGTGTGTGAGTGTCTGTCTGTGTCAGCAATGTGTGTCTGTGTCATTGTTTGTGTCTCTCTGTCATGGTGTGTGTGTCACTGTCATGGTGTGTGTGTGTGTGTGTGTCTGTCTGTGTCATTGTGTGTGTCTCTGTGTCATGGTGTGTGTGTCACTGTCTGTCATGGTGTGTGCGTCTGTCTGTGTCATGCAATGTGTGTCTATGTCATGGTGTGTGTGTGTTTGTCATGTAATGTGTGTCTGTGTCACGGTCTGTGTGTGTCATGGTGTGTGTGTGTGTTTGTCTGTGTCATGTAATGTGTGTCTGTCTGTGTCACGGTGTGTGTGTCTGTGTCACGGTCTCTCTGTGTCGTGGTGTGTGTGTCTGTGTGTCAAGGTCTGTCTGTGTTATGGTGTGTGTGTGTGTCAAGGTGTGTGTGTCTTTTTTAAGGTGTGTGTCTGTCATGGTGTGTGTGTCTGTCTGTGTCATGGTGTGTCTGTCTGTCATGGTGTGTGTGTGTTTCTGTATGTGTCACGGTCTGTCTGTGTCATGGTGTGTGTCTGTCATGGTATGTGTGTGTGTGTGTGTGTGTATGTGTGTTTTTACTCAACTTTTTTTTCCCACGTCATGCTGGTCTCCCCTCGCCTGGCCCTGCCTCTACGGCTGAGATCATCAAGCTTGATGATCTCAGCCAATCCGCACTGACACAGGAAGCACCTCTAGTGACCGTCTGAGTGTCTGTCACTAGGAAGCAATGTAAACACTGCCTTTTCTCTTAAAAGTCAGTATTTACATTGAAAAGCCTGCAGGGACAGGCTATAGACACCAGTACCACTACATTAAGCTGTGTGTGTGTGTGTGTGTGTGTGCGCGCTTGCTTGTGTGTGTGTGTGTGTGCCGGCTACTGAGTGAGCTTGTGTTTTTATGTCAATAACCTTATGTATGAGGCTGTGTATCAATCAGCTTGTGTCAGTGAGATTGTTTGTGTATGCATGTGAGCAGGGGCGGACTGAGAGCCTTTGGGGCCCCCGGGCAAAATTAGATCCCAGGCCCTCTGAAGGCCAAATATATGTGCATTAAATAAATGTTAAATATAATTCATAATACGGCATTCCTTTGGATGTGTGTATTGTGAAGACCTGTGTATCAATGCATGTTTGTATTTGAGTCTGTGTGAATGCACTTGTGCATGTCTGGATGACTAAATGTGCTTTTTTGTATATAGGGTCAGTGTGAATGCATATGACAAGTGACAGAGTGTGTGAGGGAGAAGGTGACAGGTGGAAGAGTGTGGGAGGTTGTGACAGGTGGCAGAGTGAGGGGGTACCTGGTGGCAGAGTGAGGGAGGGAGGGGTTGAGTGGTGGCAGAGTGAGGGGGAGACACAGTGAGTGGGGGTGACTGGTGACAGAGTGAGGGAGTGGGTGACTAGTGACAGAGTGAGGGAATGGGTGACTAGTGACAGAGTGAGGGAATGGGTGACTAGTGGCAGAGTGAGGGAGGGAAGAGATGACTAGTGGCAAAGTGAGGGAGGGAAAGGGTGACTAGTGACAGAGTGAGGGGATGACTGGTGACAGAGTGAGGGGGGGGGGTGACTGTCACTAGTCACCCCATCCCTCTCTCTGTCACTAGTCACTCCCTCCCTAACTCTGTCACTGTGTCACCCGCTCCCTCACTCTGTCACTGTGTCACCCGCTCCCTCTCTCTGTCACTAGTCACCCCATCCCTCTCTCTGTCACTAGTCACCCCCTTCCTCACTCTGTCACTGTGAAGGAAGGAAGGGGTGACTGGTGACAGAGTGAGGGAAGGGATGACTAGTGGCAGAGTGAGGGAAGGAAGGGATGACTGGTGACAGAGTGAGAGAGGGGGTGACTAGTGACAGAGTGAAAGAGGGGGTGACTGTCACTAGTCACCCCATCCCTCACTCTGTCACTAGTCACCCCCTCTCTCACTCTGTCACTAGTCACCCCCTTCCCTCTCTCTGTCACTCCCTCACTCTGTCACTAAGGACAGAGGGGGTGTTTAGTGACAGAGTTAGGAGGGAGTGACTAGTGACAGAGAGAGGGATTGGGTGACTAGTGACAGTCACCCCCTCCCTCACTCTGTCACTAGTCACCCCCTCTCTCACTCTGTCACTAGTCACCCCCTTCCCTCTCTCTGTCACTCCCTCACTCTGTCACTAGAGTGAGGGAAGGGGTGACTAGTGGCAGAGTGAGGGAAGGAAGGGGTGACTAGTGACAAAGTGAGGGAGGTGGTGACTGTCACTAGTCACCACCTCCCTCTGTCACTACTCCCTCCCTCCTTCTGTCACTAGTCGCCCCCTCCCTCACTCTGTCACCTGTCACCCCCTCACTCTGTCACTAGTCACCCCCTCACTCTAGTGACAGAGTGAGGGACGGGGTGACTAGTGACAGAGTGAGAGAGAGGGTGACTAGTGACAGAGTGAGGAAGGGGGTGACACAGTGACAGAGTGAGGGAGGGGGTGGCTAGTGACAGAGTGAAGGAGGTGGTGACTGTCACTAGTCACACCCTTCCCTCCCTCACTCTGTCACTAGTCACCACCTCCCTCTGTCACTACTCCCTCCCTCCTTCTGTCACAAGTCACCCCCTCCCTCACTGTGTCACTAGTCACCCCCTCACTCTGTCACTAGTCACCCCCTCACTCTAGTGACAGAGTGAGGGACAGGGTGACTAGAGACAGAGTGAGAGAGAGGGTGACTAGTGACAGAGTGAGGAAGGGGGTGACTAGTGACAGAGTGAGGAAGGGGGTGACACAGTGACAGAGTGAGGGAGGGGGTGACTGTCACAAGTCACCCCCTTCCCTCCCTCACTCTGTCACTAGTCACCCCTTCCTCACTTTGTCACTAGTCACCCCTTCCCTCCCTAACTCTGTCACTAGTCACCACTTCCCTCCCTCACTCTGTCACTAGTCACCCCCTCCCTCATTGTCACTAGAGTGAGGGGGTGACTAGTGACAGAGTGAGGGAGGTGGTGACTGTCACTAGTCATTACCTCCCTCCCTCTGTCACTAGTCACAACCTCCCTCTGTCACTACTCAATCCCTCCTTCTGTCACTAGTCACCCCCTTTGTCCCTTACTCTGTCACTAGTCACCCGTCCTCACTGTGTCACTAGTCATCCCCCTCTCTCACTCTGTCACCAGTCATCTGCTCACTCTGTCACCAGTCACCCCTTCCTTCCCTCACTCTGCCACTAGTCACCCCTTCCCTCACTCTGTCACCAGTCATCCC